TGCACCTTGGGATTTCAAAATATTCCACTTATCTTTATTAGACCTATCAGAGGACAATAGCGTATTAAAGTGACGGTTTCTAGCATCTCTTAGTTTCCTTTTAACATCAGGAAACTGCATAACGAAGAAGGCAATGTAAACTGTAATGGTGTAGGGTTGAGAAATTGCAGATGACAAACTCAGTTCAATTGAGTGAAGATAGTTATAAACACAGGACAAGAAATGAAAATGCCAAACGGAGTGCAAATAGGCTACATAGTGGCAAACGTGAGTGGGAAAAGAACTCTAACCATCAAATGAGGGTTGAGAAACCTAGGCCTACTAGGCCTAATGAGAACGAACCTGTCATTTATAATGACGTAACTACAGAGGTCATTGAAAGTGATGAAGAAGAAGGCAATGTAAACTGTAATGGTGATCCCAACCTTGAAGAAGTGGATGATGAGTGTAAATTGTCGTTGGCAACAGAAAATCATATTAACCGTACTGCTACTTACTCAGATATGTTAAAGAAGAAACCAATGCCTATGGAAAGGAAGGAAACCGATGTCACACAGGATAATTTTGTACTGATGCGAAATAGAAGAAGTCGAAGAGCAAATCAAGAAAACTCTAAGCCTAGGCCTAGAACTAACCATAAACCAATAATTGGGACTGGAAAAGTCGATGGATCCGACTTGGAGGCTGTGGCTAAAACTAAATGGATATTTATATCCAGGCTCGAGAAAAATACAAAGAAACAGTCAGTGGAGGAATATGTGATGAAGATGTGTAGTGGAAAAAACGTCATCTGTGAGGAAATTCCCACAAGGTACCCAACCTACAAATCCTTCAAGGTAGGTTTTCCATTACAGTTCTCTAATATAGTTATGGACTGCGAGAAATGGCCTGAAGGCATTTTAATTAATAATTTCATAGTCTCTAACAGACATGGGAACAACAAAACCAGGCCTAGGCCTACACTTGATAATGGGTTGCCTGAAAAAAACGTGTAGTAGACTCTGATGGATATAGGGAAGCAGAGTTGAATAAAGATAACCCTAAAAGATTAAAGATTATGTTTTTTAATGGAAGATCTATTTTTAATAAAATTGAATTATTAGAATCTCTCTTGTCACAAGATAACTGTGAAATTATTTGTGTAGCTGAGACTTGGTTAAATAATGTGAAGAAAACCTGCTTTAAAATTGGGGACTATTCTATGATAGTAGATTACAGTAGAGAATTGAAATCTGGAGGTGGTGTTGCCATTTTTACTCTAAATAATAACACAAACAAAGTAATTCCAATCAATAAACTGAAGGACCTCTCAGTAGAAGAGATTTTTGAGTGCTGTGGAGCAATCGTTAATTGTTGTAAATATAAATTTGTACTTGTAAATATCTATAGACCGCCATGTGAGGCGAATTTTTATCAATTTATTGAACTCCTTGAAGATACCATAACGTACCTAAAACGAACATATTGTGACTTACCTCTGGTGGTCTGTGGGGACCTAAATGTTGATTATTTGACAAGTAGCCTACACAGAGACTACTTAAATGATGTTTTGCAGTCAAACGATCTCCATGTTACATTCAATCAATACACTAGGATCGACCCTAATTCAAATCGACACAGCCAACTCGACTACTTTATGACTGATATTCAGAGATGCTCTTATTCCATAGATGTTTTACCACCACTTCTCTCAGACCATAGCATAATTGTTTTTAAATTGGATTCAAGAAATTTCAATGTTGTAAAGAAAATTGAGAAGAGGAAAATTACCAAACCCAACCTAAACACATTTGAGTTTTTAATGAAAAAACAAAGTTGGATCATTGATGAGTCAACCAGTAATGTAGATAATATTTTTAATACTTTTTATTCCTCCTTTTTATATGTTTTTGACGTGTGCTTTCCCAAGGCCATATATATGTGTAAGGACGACTCACATGTTAGATGGATAAACCAAGAAATAATAGAATCCCAAGAAAACTTGAAAGAATTGTACTGGCGTACAAGAGACAAAACTGATGATAACAACAAAATAGTATATTCCAATGCTAAATATCAACACACTTTATTGCTCCCTAATAGTAAGAAACAATATTTCAAGAATAAAATTGACAATGCAAAGAACATCAGCAAAGAGTCATGGACTATTATTAGAAATCTAACATGTGATGATTATGTAAATAGTTGTAATATATGTTTGAAAATCAATGACGAGCTCATCACCCATCCGGGTAATGTGGCAAACATTTTTAATGACTATTTTGTTTCTGAAATCATCAAACTGACTGGGCCGGTTAGTGAAACAAATATAGATTTTAATGATAATTTATTGGAGAACGATTTCCATTTGTGGCCTACAAGTGAGAAAGAAATAGCTGACATCATCATTAAAGTAAGCAATAAACATAGTGCTGGAATAGATGAAATACCCTGTAGTTTGTTGAAATGCTGCAAGGACATCATTGCTAAACCCCTTGCCATGATAATTAACAAATCGTTTGAACAAGGTGTCTTTCCAGAAAAAATTAAAACCTCAAAGGTTGTGCCTATCCACAAAGGTAACGAAAAAAACCTCGTTAAAAACTTTAGGCCGGTAGCCGTACAGAGTGTATTCTCTAAAATATTTGAAATTGTATTTCTAAGAAGATTAATTCCCTTTTTGGATGAGAAAAACCTGCTTAATGATCATCAATTTGGTTTTAGAAAGAAGAAATGTACTACTGATGCGATATTTGACTTAATCATTGATTTGTATGATAATCTTGACGAAATAGGAGATCAGCTATGCATCTTCTATGACATGACTAAGGCGTTTGACCTTCTTTCACATGAGATACTGTTAAATAAATTAATCAAAATTGGTATCAAAGGCAAGCCATTACAATGGATCTCTACATATCTCAAAGACAGGAAACAAGTAGTCAATGTTAGACATTCAAGTCAAGACGGGCTATGTCGCCACTACCGTTCAACTCTATCACCTAATATTAATACCGGGGTTCCTCAAGGATCGAACTTAGGCCCTGTCCTATTCCTCCTCTACGTCAACGACCTGCCTGATTCAATAACAACAGGAAAAACCTGGTTGTTTGCCGATGATGTTTGCCATCTTGTAAGAGGTAGTGATGCTCGATCCTTAAGAATCAACGCCCAAGAAGGGCTTAACGAAATGAGTAGTTGGTGTAACGACAATAAACTGTTACTGAATAGAAGTAAAACAAAGGCTCTTCAGATACACAATAGGAAAAAACCAGATTGTTGCCCTTTACTGCGCTCAGGAGGATCAACCATTAACATTGATAATTCCGTAAAATATCTTGGCCTAACCATCAGTGATGACCTGAGATGGCACAAACATATCGACAACATATCTGTGAGACTCACGGCAGTTTGCTATATGGTTCGAAGGCTCCAACCACTCCTGGAAAAAGAAGTACTAATGAAGATATACCATGGCTGTTTTCACAGCATCATGAAATATGGGATCCTACTATGGGGAAACAGCCCAGCTGCCCAACGAGTACTTCTCCTACAAAAAAGAATAATGAGATCTATTTTCTTGGAACCATTTCTCGCACACTGTAAGCCACTGTTTGAAGAAGCCAAGGTCCTTACCATGACAGCACTTTTTATCCTGGAGTCAGCACTGAGTGTAAAGAAGAACCCACAACTGTTCCTAATAAATGCAGCATTCCACAACTACAACACAAGGCAATGTAAAAATGTCCACCTAACCCAAGTAAACTCCACTTTAGTAGCAAATGGCCCTAAATTTATGTGCTCCAAAATCTATAACAAGATCCCAACTGAAATAAAAAATATTGAAGAAATAGAAAAATTCAAGATGTTACTCAAGAATTATTTATTGAAGAGGCCATACTACTCACTGACAGAGTACTTTGAAGATAAATGAAAAGGCCAATATTTTTTTGACAACCACGGCGCAGTGACGCTTCCAGTGGGAAATCTTCAAGTATCAAGTATCAAGTAAGTTGATGTGAGCCACCTACTGATTGCGCTGATCTAAAACACTAATTTATGTTGAATACAAGAGTCCATGGACTTTTTTAACCAAGTCAAACTAATGGAATGACTTATTGTGAGCTATAGCAACTGTTATGGCCCATCGACTTGGTCAGCAATAACAAATATGATAGAAAATAGAATTTTAGACACTAGCACAATTTGTGACTGGCTCACAAAACTATGTTATCTTTAATTTAAAAAATTGGCGACAGCTGGTCCATATAGATAGGATATCTACTTTAGTATCCAATGGTCAATACTACCACCCACAGTCAAATATGATAGCCTAAATAATAATATTTTTCAACAAGACTGCCATATTGATTTTGTTCATAAAGTAACTACTGTATTGCTTTTTCATTGAATATCATCCATTGACATTTATACAACTAGACATTCCATCCCCATATAAAGTTATTGCATTTTTTTATCAAAATTGTCGTAGTTGATACGAGCCACCGATAGATTGTGTTGATCTAAATTACCAATTTATATCAAATACACAGACTATTTTACCAAATCAAACTAACTTAATTGACTTCTTCAACTAACAAGCTGTCATCCTTCAGAAGGAAATCCCCTGGCCTTATCTCTGTTATGCTTGTTTCATAGCATGCAGTTACCTTCCAGCCAGTTGCTTCATGCAGTTTGTTATTTTTGTTTTTCCCTAAAATCTAATATATTCTTGTTCTAATATATTTTCATGTAGCCTATGGAAATTACTTATTGTGAGCTATAGCAACTCTTTTATGATCTATCAACTATGTGAGCAACAAAAAATATGGTAGAAAATAGGATTTTAGACACTAGCGCATTCTATGACTGGCTCACATAACTATGTTCTTTTTAATAACAAATTGGCGATAGTTGGTCCATATAGATGGAATGTCTACTTCAGTAAGCCTATCCAATAGTCAACGATATCATCAACATTGTATATAACAACAGTCTCATAAATTTAACTTTGCTTCCAGCCTAACGGAAGGTTTGAGGTTCAAAAGAAGATATGCCTGAGTATCTCAGGTCATCACCCAGAGACTTGGCAACCATCATGGTCCATACGGACAGCTTTGTTGGCTCTCATAGCTTTCATGCCTACACCTGCCAATGGGACTATAGGAGCCATCGACTACACCCCTGAGGAACGCCAGAAACTTGCTCGCAAGTAAGAAGTCATAGTCAATAATTTGTTGAATGAAAGTATTACGAAAACCTACAAAATGTTTTTTAAATGTCAAATTTCTTTTATCATATCTGCTACGTGTACAGTATTTGACTCAGCAATGTATGTATTATAGGCCTAATCTATGTAGAGTTGGGATAGTTTCTAGTTTATATTTGGAGTTAGTTGATCAATTAATTTGGATTATCTTGATTGCCTATCAGTTAAATACATTTGTCATAGTAATTTTTTTGTCTCGGAATGAATTCTGAGTGTAACGTGGAAATGTAGATCAATTATTATATGTAGATCAATTGTTATATTGAGGGTCTACTAACATGCAATGTTTTTTAAAAATGGAGCCTTTCACTAGCCCCATCACCATGAAAATAAACGGTATCAGCAATCTGATACATACTTTCTCCCATAAGTTTGTCAATTATCAATTATCAATTATCAATTAGTTAAGATGGGGACGCCACTATGTGCGTATTTTAACCCAAATATGAGTGAAGGATGAGTGTAGGATGAGTGGCGCGATCTTGTAGTCTTGTTAGTGACTAAGGCCGACATGTTCCTTAGACACAGCTGTTAATTAATAGCCCATACAGCTAATGGCAACTAAGGGCCCCTACAGTTTATAGTGGAATCCGAACCACATTTTTCCTTGTAATTTACGAATTGGTCTAATTATCAGGATAGTACTGCGGATAGTCGTAGTACTCACTAGTGCGGACGTTAATCCACACCAGGGAGCATCGCATCCACAGTGCATCCCTATAAATATCCACAATTCGTGACCTCCTAGTAGCTGGATTACAGGACGACGCCACCCGTCCCAGTCAACAACCTTTATCATGTGTAAGCGGTGAGAGTAAATATACGGAAATGGGATTTGTACAATTTTGTTCAGAATTTAAAGGAATATAACATGCAAAATTTTTATCAAAATCGTTCGGGCCATTTTTGGGAAAATCTGATTTTTCTGTTATTTTATGGAGGTTTTATGGGAAAATGAGATAATTTACATCAACTTTTGAACCGTAATTTTTACAGAAATGGGATTTATACCATTTTGTTCAGAATTTAAAGGACTATAACATACTAAATTTTTATCAAAATCGTTCGGGCCATTTTTGGGAAAATCCTATTTTTCCGTTATTTTATGGGGTTTTATAGGAAAATCCCCATGAAAAAAATTTTTAAAAAAATTTAAAAACCTATCAAAATTGTAAGGACTATAACATACTATGTTAAATCAAAACAGGATTTTTTCTAAAATCCTATTTTTCGTTATTTTATGGGGTTTTTATGGGAAAATAACATATTTGACCATAACTTTTGAACCGTAATTTTTACAGATATGGGGTTTGTACCATTTTATTCAGAATTTAAAGGGCTACAACATACTAAATTTTTATCAAAATCGTTTGGGCCATTTTTGAGAAAATCCGATTTTTCTGGTTTTTTATGGGTTTTTATGGGAAAATCCCCATTAAAAATAAAAATTTCAAAACAATGAAAAAACGCCTGGAGATACCATGGATTAGAACCTACATACCAAATTTCATCGAAATCGGACCTCAGATGTAGTCTCTAGCTCTGTACACATCCAGACACACAGACACACACACACATACGGGGTTTTACCGAATACTCGCAAACACCTAATTGTGGCATCTTTCAACCTGCGGCCACCAGTGGATGAAGGAAGGTGGTAGAAACATGTCTGCATCGATATTTTTAATGAACACTCCATTTTAACATCTAACATTCCAGTTTTTAAATTGTGGCACCATGCCACAAATCGGTATATATCAACAGTGTGTGGACAGGATGCCACTAATGCGTTGTAGTGCTTGAGCGGTGTGTGCGCCCCCCCTACTTCTCGCGTGCGCTGTTGCCAGTTCTCCGTTCTAGTTCCTTCATTCCGTTCTGTATTCATGTGGCTATGCCCTAGCCGCTGTAGCTCATTTCCCGCGCTCACGACGTTGTCTTTTATTAGTGTAAGGATTTTATATGAAGTTTTTTCAAAGCTCCAATAATTTTTACAATTATTGGATTTAAAGTCAATGGACCAAATGAAATGTCGTGAGGATTACATAAAACTACATGCTATTTTGTTGATATTTTATCGTCACATTGTATGTATGGTTTACGAACTGAGATACTTGGAATAAAGGCCCAATGTGCAGGGTAAATTATCAGTTTCATGGGAATATACAAGAAATCTATTCTATCTATATATTAATTACGTAAGCCGATTCTTTGCGTCAAAATTGTGGGCGACTGGGAAGTCGTAGAACGACGTGAGAGGGCTCAAATTAAAGGTCTTTATCCCGTGACGGCGGGAAAAATAGTGAAATTCCCAAAATCTTAACACAAAATTAGATATAACGTACAATTTTCTCCATAAGAATAGCATTAGAAGGCATTTACTGCTGATTTTTGTTTACTTCAATCTAGCTAATCGTGATTTTATCATTAGCAAGTAAGCTTACATTTGGATTACTCATTTGCCAGTCAATTCTGCAATGTAATGTATACTATATAAAACCAACTATATAAAGGAATAACGTTACCTTTAATAATTAAGACTTTTTAGTTATGTCAAAGTTGAAATAAATTGTTTTCAAGATTTAAGAAACGATTCAAGATTAAAAGAAGATCTTTGTTTTTTTTTTCAAAACATATGTAAAAGATTTATTCCATTTTTTTTTAATTTACTAACATTTATATTTGAGATTTATTGTAGTGTTTAATCAATATTTTGTATGAAGTGGAATAACCTCAACGGTTACTCTTAGAAAACAATTTGGGAATAGAGATGAAGTAGGTTCGTACAGGTATTTAAACGAACCAAAAATATTTATGTCGTGATTAGTTTCGATAATGGGGTAATGGAACCCTAACTAGCCGCAAAATAGTTAGTAATTAGACGTTGACTAGACCCTTTTTTGGTAGAATATGTAAATCAATCGCACCTTTAGGAGGATTAACACCACATACTTACACTAGGCTAATAGTGGTTTTTTAATGTTGATCACAAACAAATTTAGGTCCAAGTTCAGTCAATGGGATGCCTTTACTTAAGAATAATTTTGTTAAACCTTTACAAAATGAGCATAGACTTAGAAATAATAACTGGGTAGGGTATCTCAACACACCATTTTTTGCCTTTTCTTATTTGACGAAGTCAATTTCCGATACTGTATTTCAATCGGGGAAGCCTTATTATCAGCATTAACCAAAAAACCAAAGCTACCTTAATAAACCAATATTTATTCATAAACATGTTTGCTGCCTTTAGCAGTTAAACCTCTGGAATCATTCAAATTCTTTATTGAACATAACGTTATCAACAAAAGCAAACAAAGACAAACAACAAACTGTTTTGTTTTTTTTTGCACAAAAGATATGTTGTAGTGGGATATCTAGGCCTATCCTGACATATAGATAATTTGATTCTGAGTTTGTTCAAATATTCCAACAATAATTCCTTTTCCGTAGCTTTTTAGGGACTATGTCCATACAAGCCACTAGTTTACATTAAAATACGCAATTAGTATGACTCCGTTTTTTCTGTATGCATATAATTAATTCATGGTAATGTAAAAGTATGCGTAACGAATTTTTCACCTCACTATGATGTTTTTAGCTGTTTTAGATACATTTAGCTGGTTTATATTGGTGGCTGAAAGTTACGTTTTGCTGGCCATGCCAGCTATCATCGTCATATGGGGACCGAGCAGGGGTTTACATCCCTAGGGCCGCAAAATCACTTGTTCGCCTATTTACTTAAAACATTAATGTACATTAAATTCACAAGCTGTATCCATGGCATTGCAATAGACTTGTTTTTTGTCACAGCTGCCTAGACAACTATTTATTGTTATTTTTGATTTTGCTGATTCCTCAAAATATTTCACATAAATAAGAGGGACGTTATATTGCAAAACATACTTGGGTGAAAAATAGCGCTCGTACCACGAGCCAAAATGGGTTTGCAGCTCTCGATCGTTTCACGTTCTCGACTTCGTCCCGAACTTAAAACCCGATATCGAGTCGGCAAAACCTCACTGTAGGCCCTAGGTACGAGATATACTATTTTTTTACGGTGGATTTAGAGACCCAAAGATTCTCACCCTTTGCGAAGCATGGGCAGATAGTTAGTTATAAGATTATAAAGTCTTTACTGTTTTGTCTGTACATTGCGTAGACTCATGAAGTGTTTGGTTATTTCTACGTTGTATATAATAAGATAGCCGAAACGAGTCTTGTGTCAATATCTGTACGTTTGTTTGATTGTTACTGTCATTGTGCCTGTAACGCCAAAATTCCAATTCACGTGTCCTACCTTGGGAAAACTAGAGTACCGTTCATGATCCAAATAGATTTGTAATTGTTTGAATAAATTTGCCAAGTTTGATCAAAATATATCCATAAACAAGCAAGCTACAACATTTTACAATATTCTTTATACTGTATGAATATCAAGGGAATTTTTAAATTTACAATTTTTGAATTTGTCCTGTTACCAATAACCGTACAAAAACACTTTGATATACTAAATTATTTGTTTTCTAAGCTATTTAAAAAGGTCTGGATATAAATTGGGAAATTTTGTATTTTTAAGGTAACGTTTTTCTCCATTTCATATATTAGTAACAATATATAGTATCAAATTCAGTAATAACATTGACTACTGTATTTAGACCTTAACACAAGTGTTTATATATTCATTGAGGCTACCGTTGTACCGCTGATGGCTTATGCATGTGTACGTTAGTAGCTAGCAGACAATTTGCCAACTAGGTACATGAAATCAGGTGTTCCCCGTCCTCACTGTCGCGGTTGCTCGCCTAGCATGTCAACAGCTGACTGCTGTAAAAATTGGATGAGGCGACAGTAACTTTTTCTAGTACGCTTCTTTACCATGGCATCTGCCAATTCAATTTTGTCCTAAAAATGTATACACATCTCTAAGATTTGTTGCCAACTAACAAG